ACCCCTTCACTGTTCACCACAACTCCGACGACGCCTTCATCTCAACTCAACGAAAGTGCTCTCAATTTAGATGCTTTCGATTTAATGAATACTTAACTAATTTGTAAATTTATAAATATATTTGTTTATAGGATTCATATTTAACGCATGTGTTGTTCAAATATATATTTAATATTAAAGCAAAAAACTATTAAAATATAAAGCAATTATAGTATCGATTGAATTAAGTATTGAATTAATTGTAAACGAAGTTAAATAATAAATGCCAAATATTTTTCCTCCACTTTTAAGTATATTTACGAAACGTATTACTAATACGTGTTTCATTAACTGATCACTTTATACGTAATGATTTGTAAACAGATTATTAGTGTTACTATTGGTTTAAATGACCAATAATTCAGTTCTTGTGATCTGTCGTTAAGACTATTAGAAGGTTAGAAGACGTATTGGTTAGTCCTCAATGTCAACCTCAGGGACACTCAACTAAAACTCAAAACAACTACTTTCCTTACTATCTTAATCTGTAAAAAGCTGTTTTACGGTATAAATCTCGTACACTATTAGGCGATAAAAGTTTTAAAATTAGATTCATTATTAAAAATAAAAGTTTAATACGAGTTTAATTAGGTAGTTAATTACAAACAATAATAGTTAAAAGAAATGTTTATAAAAACAAGTCATGTTTTATGTCATTCTTATAAATAACTTTTTTTTTAACAATTTGTATACAACAAATATAAAATCTTTTAAGAAACACACATTTAAATTGATTAAATATTTTAATAACTTAGTTTAAATCTATCTTGAATAAATAAATGTTTGTCACATTAGGTGCAAAATTACGACAACATTCCTAAGAAGCCCTCCCATTCCATACCCCAGAAATTGACAAACAATCTCATGATAGGCTAACCATTGGCTGAATTCTAAGATATTTGAAAAGATAAATAAGAGCTGATATTCAGGTCACTCAACATTTACTTCAATTAGAAAATTGGATTTTTTCGAAAACATTTAAATTCAAAACATACAATCGCTAAAATACCAAAAGTATTGAATTTTGATTCAATTAATTTTACTTTAAACTTGTTTTTTAATCATCGATTAACTTTAAAAAGTACTGAATTTCTAGAAGTTTACGTAAACGTCGAATCTATTAGTGAGAGTGAAGTTGTCATTAGTTTTATACCTAAATAAGAAAAATAATAACTACAATGAATGGCAACATGGTCACCGAAATTAATAATTTAAAAGTAATTATTTATCTCGAAAATGTTTTTAAATCTCTAAATCCAAAATCAATAAATTATTTATTTATGTTTAGTATTTATCTGGTTTTGGAAATGAATTTGCCAGTGAAGATAGTCGGTGCCCAAATTCACTCCCAATAGGACAGGTATGTGATAAGAAAAGATTTAAACCAATAAACTAAAACTGTTTGATAAATTAATAAAAAATGAAACCATAAGAATACCCCACAAGTGTGTCCCTATGGCTTATATGCTGAACAACTATCGGGAACTGCTTTCACAGCACCCAGGGATCAGAACGAGAGAGCGTAAGTGAATATAATTTTATATTAATATAAAAATTTTCTTAATAATTAGTTATATATTTTCAAAACAGGTGGTTATATCGGATCCGGCCATCAGTTATTCACAGCCCATTCAAAGCATACAATGGAAGTAACCTAACCTCCAATTGGGACCAAATTGAAC